TTCTTCATCCCAAGTAATAACAGAGAATTGAATCTTTCAAACAGATCTAGCAATAGTGGGAATAATACTAAATAATACTGGCTTTCTTTCTTTCATTTTTTTTTATCTCAACACTAGAGATTGAACCTAGGACCGCCACACTGGGCCACATCCATGGCCTTTTTTAAAATTTTGAGGCAGGGCTTTGGTAAGATGCTAAGTTGCCCAGGCTATGCTGGAAACTTCAATTCTCCTTCTTCAGCCTTGGTCAGGTACAGTCAGGAAAACCACCCATTTAATTAACTTATTAAGCTACTATTATGGACTACTGGACTATTTTGGATTATTTTGCTGAATTCATGCACCAACAATATTTAAATGGCAATGGAATATCCATCTCTGACAAAACTAAACAAAAACGGGGATACAAATGAAGGACCATTTTGTACCTGTATATACAAAATAGGATAGACATACAGCTACTTTCTCTTAATTCAGTGAGAAGAAAGATTTGTACTAATAGTGTTTGGACAGGATAGCACAATATGCAATGTATTCATTATTGAAACTGTTCTACTAATCGGTTTTGAAACTATCTCATTGCTATTTGTTTCTCAATAAAATTAATAAAAAAATTAACTTATTAAGGATCTTACAACTGCAAAGTCTTCTTTCCTTTGCTATAATAGACACAACATACTTATTATATATGTGACTCCCAACACATGTGGTGTTCTGGACAAATGTACTCCTTTTTAGAGTAAAGTATAATAAACTTGGGTAACAAGTCAACTGTAGGGAGGGGGTCAAAATGCAGGGCTACAGCTCCTGATGTGTTGTTATTTGGGCAGATTCTCCTTGTTTCTTTCCCTGCCCCTGTCAAGGGCTGTAAGGTGGAATCCCGTTTGGGACCAAGAATCATGTTTTGTTTTCATAATGTTTTTGCCTTATAGGCAAAGCCTATCTGGATCTAGGAGGCCATCCAAAAATCTGGAGAAAATTATTCTAAAATTAATGTTCTTGCAAAAATTGGCAGGAAAGAAACAAAAAAATTGAGTTGTGAGTAATTCACACACACACACACACACACACACACACACACACACAATACCAGTGATGATGCAAGTTGATACAAAAACAATTCTTTGGAATTCTTACATATTTACATCAGTTAATTAAAATATATTACTATGTTCCCCAAAAATAAGGTCTAACAAGAAAAAAATATGCCAGCCCCAATCAGCCTATCCTCAACCTACCTGCCACCACCCAGTAGCCACGGAACAGTAGTGATGTGTAATCTCTTGTCTTACACAGGCCATCACCACAGTAATGACTAGCTGGGACTGGTTCTGGTCAGGTTGTTCCATTTAGGTCTTATTTCTGAGGAAGCACAATATGTAGCTCATGGATTATTAAATGTTTTAATAAATGAATACAGTATGTAAAATCATAATTAGATAGAAACCACCAATCATATTAAACAATTGAACATATTGTTCAATCACATTGAACAACTTGGGCCATGGTTGGTATATTGTAAAGATAAAAACATCATTGTGAGTTTGATTGTTGGGGGTTGTGAAAGTATTTGGCAAAAAAGCAAAAGACATGAGTTCTTCATCATTCTCTGCTTCTTTCTCTCCTAGCAGAGTGTTTGAAACACATAGTAAACCAATCACTTACAGGTTCCCAGCACCTTGACTGCTCACTAGCTGGCATTCTATTAGTACCTCCTGGTGCTCTACACAGTGAGTCATGCCCTCACTTACATCTCTGTAACCAGCTGGTCCAGCATAGGAGCCACTAGCCACATGTGGGTGTCAACTACTGCAACATGGCAGTCTGAGTGGAGACATTCTGTGAGTCTAAGACACACCCAATTTTTTTGTTTTTACACTTTTTTCAAATTTCAGTGATAGCACATGAAAAAAGAATGTAAAGCATTTCAATAATTTTTATGAGCTGCAGGAGGAAATGACAACATTTTTGTGATCCTGAGTTAAACAGAATATTTACAAATATTTCATCAGCTTCTTTTTTATTTTTATAAATGCTACTATTAGAAAGTTTACAATGATTCACTTTATATTGCAGCTCAGAACCAGCCTATCACATCCAGCATTCTCAGTAAGGTTAGCTCCTTCACATGGCTCACAGGCTCAGCAAGATCCAGTCCCTGCCTGCCTCCACCATGTGGTACCCACGTCAGGGACTTTGCTCTCCTCATTCACTCTCCTGGAGTCTCCCCCCATGCTGCTGACTCCTTCCTTACATCTAAAGGGTCCACAGTCAGTGACCACTCCTCCATGTATCTCCCCTAGGCATGATTAAGCATCTAGTCACCTGCTGAATCCTCCAGCCCAACACTACAACTGACACTGTACAAGGGCAGGGACCTTTTTGGTCTATTGACCATTATAACCTTGGCTCAGAGACTAACCCACTTTAGTTCCCAATCTCATGTTTATTTGTTTAACTCATGAATGGGAAAATAGCATAGATTCATTAAAAAATCCCACTTAGCACCAACCCACTGACAATGATGACAATGACAGCATCATCTTAGGCCCAGTGCTCACTCTTCCCCAAGATCAATTTTCTATAGTCATTAGGGGAGGAAGTATGGGATAGTTGAAAGGACACAATCTGGAATTAGAAACCTTGATTTGAATTTCACTTATCACTTAAGAGGTACATTACTGGTTAAAGCCCTGGACTATTCAGAATGTCTGTTTCCTCTGAGTTGCTGTCTTGAAATTCAAGTACATTAACAGCTTTCATTTGGAAAGCCCCAGTATCAGTTATAGATCAAGGCAATCTTCAAAGGTAAAGAGGCTTTTATTAACTCGGGTGTCCAAAACATGGAGCACAAGGCTTGCCTTAACTCAGAGGCCCCAGAGCTGCTAGAGGGATGAATGACTGCTTCCATAGCCCTTGCACCACAAAGCAATGAACCTGGGGAAAATCAGATCTTTGTACTGTTCCAACTGGAAAAGATCCTCCATTTATTTCAAAGAGAAACAAAGGGGATCTCAGAGTCAGAATGAAGCTGAGAACTGACTACATTTCCTCATTTTCCCCACCAGTCCTGATGGACAAGTTTGCTGTAAGACTTTCAGAACACATGGGTCAAGAGAAGGGTCTGGAGGATCCTAATCTGCAACTTGAGCTGTGATGGGAGACACTTTAGCAGACAGCAGGGATCCTCCTCATGTTTTTACAGAAAAGATAAGATGCATAGCCCAAAGCAGAGGTTCTCGATTCTCACATTCTGAGAAACAATCACAACTTCTCCTTCCTTTCATTGTACCTGGAGTCAAGAATAAAATAAGTGGAAAGAGTTTTGTGGTTGCAGCTAAATGATGTTAAATAAAATTAGCATTACTCCATGGAACAATGGTTTTGCAAGATGGAGCAAAAAGAGTGGCAGGGGAGGGAGTGGGAAGTGACTTCACAGGGAGTGATTTTGCCTTTGTTATGCTTCTAGCTTCTGTTCTCACCATTCAAAGGCTCTGGCAGCACATTCACGTGAGCGCCACTGTTCCCAGGATTTGCTACCAAAAGCACTATTTATGTGGGAACCTTCTCTCACGAACCAGGCTCCTGTTAGTCATTTTTTATCACCTAGTGGTTTAAGTTCAGCCCACCCTGGAAGTTTTCACCTGGCCCTGGTCACTGCTGAGTGAAAGCCAGAACCTGACTTGCATTCATTCAAAATTGTGTCCTGAACCTCTGCTGCCTGTGAGGTACTGAGGCTATAGCTGGGAGAAAGCAAGACAAACATGAATGAGAGCAGAAATCCAGGAAGGAAGAAACCAGTCATCCCTCATCCTGGAAAAGGTGAGTGACAAGTGGAAAGCCCATTGCAAGTTTGTGGAAAAGGAATCAAAATTCGGGATCTCTGGCCAAGGTTTTGGGTGGCTAGCGATGATGGGTTAGGACCCAAACAGAAGGCTTGAGGTCTGCAAACCCTGACCCCCACCAGGTCCATCCCAAAGGATGGCCTTTGCACCCACTCTCCAGGCTCACTGCTGTGAGTTTTATTTTAGCCCACTGGAGCCTCGGTTCTGACAAGGAGCATGCCAGTGTGAGCAACAGGAAAAATACCTCAGAAAGAGCAGGTTCTCGCTTGGAGAAAAGAGCTTGTTTCATCCTGTGCTCAACTGGCTCAACGGCTGATGTGGGTTTATGGGTAAGGGCACCCTGGCCAGTTCTGTCCTCTGGGAGTGGTTATGGTAGGTACTGTAAGGGTACCGACAGGAATCTTGCTTGTCCAGGCCCTCACGACCTGATCTGTGTAAGTGTTACAGACTTTCTGGTCTATAGTCTCTAACTTGTAGCCCCGCGCCAGTCACCCAACTCCTAGTGTTTAGAATATTTTGCTGAGTTTACACACCTACCAAATAACGGAACTTAACAAAAAAAAGGCTATACAGATGAATGTGCATTTTGTATCTGTGTATTCAAAGTGGTTAGGATAGATACATAATTACATTCTGTTAATGAATAGAATGTTTTTTTCTAATGGTGTTTGTAAATAGGATATCAAGTCCGCATCTTGAACAGCAATTAACCACTAGGAAGAATGTATGCAGTGTGTTAATTATTGAAACTGTCCTAGCGATTTGATTTGAAACTGTCTCATTGCTATTTGTTTATCAATAAAATTATGGCCAAAAAAAAAAAAAAAAAGCTGCTTAGTACTTCGTGAGGTCAGCTGAAGGGCACCACCACACTCTCCGATCGCTTGTCTTCCTCACCCAGGTTGAAGAGCGCCGGCCCAGGTGACCACAGCTGCCCCCCACCTGTCTCTGCCACGCGTGACGCGGCGGCCAGGGCGGAAGGGGGACCCGGCTCAGCATTTATTTTTGGATTCAGCTCACTAAAAATACCTCGGCTTTCCCGTTTGATCCTTCTCCCTCCTGACCTGAACGGACCGCCGGCTGTCGCCCGCCCCCTCGGCGCGCAGTCCTTTAAAGGAGAAGGGCGTGGGGACCGAGCCGGCGCCGCTGCGGTGCTGTCGGGGCGGGCGGGGCCGAGCGGCTCTAAAGTTAAGGAAGGTCTCCACCCCGCGGAGACACCCGGAGGCGGGGCGCGGCCTCGCGCTGCCATTGGCTGCCCACGCGCTAGCGCCCTCGCCGATTGGCTAGCGCGGTTTTAGAGGGAGCCCGGCTCTCCAATTAAAGCCGCACGGAGAGCCTGGCTGCGCTCAGAGCTCCCCGCGGAGCGCGCGAACTTGTCCATTCAGCCTCCGGCAGCCCTGCAGCGCGCCCTCGCGCCTCAGCTGGACTAGCCAGGCATCGGTTCTCCGCAGAGGAAGATGGCAAAGGTGGCGAAGGACCTCAACCCACGCGTGCAAAAGGTGAGGACATCTGCCTACCTTTACTCACATCTTCTGCTTGCTTGTCCTCCTTACCATACCTTACTTAGAGGTAAGGAGCAGTTAAATTCCAAGACTTTTGTTCGGACTGACAGGCACGGCACCCAAATTCACTCATATTTACCATTGTAAGGTAAAGTTATGCGGGGGTCTTACTTCTTGGGCGATGTTAATTAAAGTTGATTTAAGGTAAAACTGGGGAGAAGGAACTCTCAGGGTCTCTGGGGGGAAAATTCTAGCTCTAGAAGTTTCTAGCTTCCCTGTCCTCTCTGGGATGGTTCTGTAAAGATGGGGGCACAGGTAATAGTCCCCAGAGTGCCCCCCTTTTGCTGTCATCCCAGTACCTTCTGGGTACACACACACACACACACACACACACACACACACAACACACAGTTTCTTAGCCAGTGCTTTTGGCAGTGCCAGTAGTTCTAACACAGACAACTACTTTCCATCCCCAAGGCCTGCCCGTTTCTCTTTCAAGAAGGGCTGGCTTGGAGCCCGGAAGGTCGAGGGTGAATTACTGTAGGAGGGGCCTACAGCTGTGCCTGTAGCTCCAACATCCACTGTTTGCCTACCTGAGTGCACTTGGGGGCGAGCTCAGGCTGGAGACTTAAGAGACAGCAGAATGGGGAGTGAGCAGAGATAGCCTATGCTAGTGAACCTATGGCACACGTGCCCACCCGGCTATTTGTATCACTGAAAGCTCTAAAAGGTTCGCCATCTTTGCCTAGGTTGGGCAGAAATAGAACTCAGTACTGAAAGGCCACAGAGAGCTGGTTTCAGTAGGCAATAGAGTGCAAGGAAAGTCTTACATGTTCAAGCTCATGTCCTTTGTAGCTGCGTAGTATTGACCAAGTCACTGTTCTGAGCATCGGTTACCCGCACTCTAACCTAGGGATGGTAGACCCTACCTCCTTCACAGCAGCCAGAGCAACAAGGTGGCATGTGGATTGATCTTCCAAAGCAATAATTATTAAGCTCTGATTTCAGAGGGTTTAGTTTTGCAGGGCAAAGTCTTCCTTACACATCAGTCTATTACTTGTGAAGTAAGTGAGAGAAAAAGAAAAAAAAAGACTAACAGAATCAAAGAATGTAAGCCAACTATGTAGAGGCATGACATTCAACTAGTAATTTAGAGTTGTGCCCTTTACACACAACCTGCCCCAGACCCCACACACACTGCAGCAAGCCCTTCTACATGTATATGCCAGGTCTGAGTTAATCTGGACATCTCTCTGGAATGCACCATGTCCCATTGCTTTTGCCAGACTCTGCAGAATCAAGTCTCCCATGGATTTCCCATAAGAGTGTAGGCTTTTGGAAGATACTTATTAAATTTTACCCAGTTATGAGTTATGCATGTACTGCTTATTTATTTCTCTTTACATTTTTCTGAGGCCTTGAGGGAAACATTAACTTGTCCATCTCTGTGTTGCATGCCACAGCAGAAGTCAGAAAACTATGAAACCATGAGAATGTGGGCAGCTAAGATATTAATGTTTGTATGGTACACCGTGCATGTTATTATTTACCTTGTATTACTATTTACCTTGTTGAGTAATGATTTGCATTTGAACTACTTCCCCAAGTTCAGTTGATTAGAAGAATTTGGGGATAAGGGAACAGGCTTTTGTTGTTCTTTGGAAAGTAGATGATTTCTGGGTGTTTAAACTATAAACTGGCTTCCAGTTACCATGTGAAGTGAGGCCAGGTGTATGGAAGCCTCCTCCTCACTAAAGGCAAGGCTACTGCTTGAAAGAAATCTTGTTTTTATTTTCCTTTGTACTGGAGAATGTGATTATCCAGATTAGAAGTGGAACATGTTCTCCTTCTTGTCACCCTCTAGTGCCAACTTTCTTGGTCTGGAAATGGTTTATTTTCCATTTAGATCCAATTACAGGCTTAGCAAAAGAATACGGTGGGTAGAGATGAAAGGGTAGATATTTCTGGCCACTTGGGGTTTTGACAATCAAGGAGACTTATCACCCTTTTGTGGATTAGCTGATGTCTGCTACCCAAAAAGTCAAGGGAAGGGGTGGGTGTCTGGGAGAAGCTTCTTTGCTGAATGATACAGTAGTGATTAAGCACTGTTTTGTAATAGCATGCTGAAAAGATTGTATTGTGTATTTACCTGTAAGATCAGCAACAGTGGGGTCTTTTTAATATTTGGCTTCAGGGTGTAAAATCACACTTAAGACATTTTGAAACAAATTCATAGACTCTTAGAGCTTCAAGAAACTTATTTACAAGATGAGAGATAGTTTAAAATGGCATTTGCACTGTTGCCACCGCCCTGCCTTGAGAGAGCTGGGAGAGGCCAGAACCCCCAGCAGCTGGAAAAGTCATAAGAATATTGTCTTACTTAATTTTCTCATTGCTGAGACAAAATGCCTGACACCCAAAGTAGGCATTCCTTTTAAAGTAGGAAAGGTTTATTCAGCTCACAGTTTGTAGAGGTTTTATTACATAATTGGCTGGCTCTAAGGTAGGGTGGATGGCAGACAGGTATCAGAGAGGAGAAATTATTCATGGCAGGCAGAAAGCAGCAAAGTAACATGGGTTGACCACAGCTCTTCCTATCTCATACCTTATCCAGCCCACCTAGGGCAGGTAGCACTCACAATCTTAATCTTCGTGCCTTCCATCCTAGCATTGCACCATTAATCAATGTCAGTGTCATTCATTCTAAATCCAGCCATATCTGAAAAAGCTTAGGACTGGATGAGGTTTTGGGGGGACATCTAAGCACAAGCCAGTAGCATTCTTTCCCTAGCCCCCACCAAAGATTCAAGCACATTCCTTTATGTAAAAGGCATTTAATCCATCTCTAAGAGTTGGCAAAGTCCTAACAGTTTCAGCATTGCTAAACAGTCCAAGTCTAAAGTCTCCTCTGAGATTTAAGGCACAGTTCTAGCTGTGAGCCCCTGTACAAATGAAAAGATAGTTAAACATATCCAACATTCAATGGCACAAGATAGACATTTCTATTCCAAAAGTTATAAATGGGGAAAGCAAGGAATGGGAACAAAACAAGACCAAAATCCAGCAGGGAAAAGTAAATCCCACAATTCCACTTTCAGCATTCTTGACAATCTGTGACAGGCTGTGAATGCCAAAGGGTTTGGGTGGCTCCAAATGGCACTTCTGGTGGTTGTAGCTCTCATGACTTATTTCTTTGGCTGGCTTTGCTCACTCTTGCAGCTTTCCTTGGACTATCTATATTCCGGGCTTCTCCAAATCTTCTGGAGTGTCCACTGCACCTTTCACTTCACACTGATAACTTCACACACCACCCTTTCAAGGGCTTACTGTTTGGCCTCCATGGACTTCTTCTGAAATCTGGGTGGAAGCCTTCTTTACCCCACAGCCCTTGCATTCTGCACATGCCTAGCTTCTTTATTTTATTGAGAAACAAATATCAATGACACAGTTTCAAAACTGATCAGTAGGACAGTCTCAATAATTAATACATTGTACATTGTTATCTTCTTAGTGGTTATCCATAGTACAAGATGCAGACAAAATATCCTGTCCAAACACTACT